TGTAGCTGTTAACATCTATAGTTGTTAGCGTCTGTAGTTGTTAGCATCTGTAGCTGTTAGCATGTGTAGCTGTTAGCAGTTGTAACTGTTAGCATGTGTCGCTGTTAGCATGTGTAGCTGTTAGCCTGTGCAGCTGTTAGTGTCTGTAGTTGTTAGCGTTTGTAGTTGTTAGCGTTTGTAGTTGTTAGCGTTTGTAGTTGTTAGCGTTTGTAGATGTTAACGTCTGTAGTTGTTAGCGTCTGTAGTTGTTAGCGTTTGTAGTTGTTAACGTCTGTAGTTGTTAGCGTTTGTAGTTGTCAGCGTCTGTAGTTGTTAGCATCTGTAGTTGTTAGCATCTGTAGTTGTTAGCATCTGTAGTTGTTAGCGTTTGTAGTTGTTAGCGTTTGTAGTTGTTAACGTCTGTAGTTGTTAGCGTTTGTAGTTGTTAGCATCTGTAGTTTTTAACATCTGTAGTTGTCAGCGTCTGTAGTTGTTTGCATCTGTAGTTGTTAGCGTTTGTAGTTGATAACATCTGTAGTTGTTAGCGTCTGTAGTTGTTAGCGTTTGTAGTTGTTAGCGTTTGTAGTTGTTAGCATCTGTAGTTAACGTCTGTAGTTGTCAGTGTCTGTAGTTGTTAGCATCTGTAGTTTTTAGCGTTTGTAATTGTTAATGTCTTTAGCTGTTAGCGTCTGTAGTTGTTAGCGCCTGTAGTTGTCAGCCTCTGTAGTTGTCAGCGTCTGTAGTTGTTAGCGTCTGTAGTTGTTAGCGTCTGTAGTTGTGGGCGTCTGTAGTTGTTAACGTCTGTAGTTGTTGGCGTCTGTAGTTGTTAGCGTTTGTAGTTGTTATCGTCTGTAGCTGTTAACATCTGTAGCTGTTAGCGTCTGTAGCTGTTAGCACCTGTAGCTTTTAGCGCCTGTAGTTGTTTGTGTCTGTAGTTGTTACTATCTGTAGCTGTTAACATCTGTAGCTATTAGTATCTGTAGCTGTTAACATCTGTAGCTATTAGTATCTGTAGCTGTTAACATCTGTAGCTGTTAGCTGTTAGCGTCTGTATTTGTTAGTATATGTAGCTGTTAACATTTGTAGCTGTTTGTATCTGTAGCTGTTAACATCTGTAGCTGTTAGCATCTTTAGTTGTTAGTGTCTGTAGTTGTTAGTATCTGTAGCTGTTAACATCTTTAGCTCTTAACATCTTTAGCTATTAGTATCTGTAGCTGTTAGCGTCTTTAGTTTTTTGCGTCTGTAGTTGTTAGTATCTGTAGCTGTTAACATCTGTAGCTATTAGTATCTGTAGTTGTTAATATCTGTAGCTGTTAGCGTCTGTAGCTGTTAGCGTCTGTAGCTGATAGCGTCTTTAGTTGTTAGCGTCTTTAGTTGTTAGTATCTGTAGCTGTTAAAATCTGTAGCTATTAGTATCTTTAGCTGTTAGTATCTTTAGCTGTTAACATTTGTAGCTGTTAGTATCTGTAGCTGTTAACATCTATAGTTGTTAGCGTCTGTAGTTGTTAGCATTTGTAGCTGTTAGCATGTGTAGCTTTTAGCATGTGTAACTGTTAGCATGTGTAGCTGTTAGTGTCTGTAGCTGTTAGCCTGTGCAGCTGTTAGCATGTGTAGCTGTTAGCCTTTTTTAGCTGTTAGCATCTGTAGCTGTTAACATCTGTAGTTGTTAACATCTGTAGTTGTTAGCATGTGTAGCTGTTAGCATGTGTAGCTGTTAGCATGTGTAGCTGTTAGCATGTGTAGCTGTTAGTGTATGTAGTTGTTAGCATCTGTAGCTGTTAGCATGTGTAGCTGTTAGCATGTGTAGCTGTTAGTGTCTGTAGTTGTTATCATCTGTAGCTGTTAGCATGTGTAGCTTTTAGCGTCTGTAGTTGTTAGCTTCTGTAGCTGTTAACGTGTGTAGCTGTTAGCATGTGTAGCTGTTAGTTTCTGTAGCTGTTAGCATGTGAGGCTGTTAGCATGTATATCTGTTAGTGTCTGTAGCTGTTAGCATGTGTAGCTGTTAGCATGTTTAGCTGTTAGCATGTGTAGCTTTTATCATGTGTAGCTGTTAGCATGTGTAGCTGTTAGTGTCTGTAGCTGTTAGCATGTGTAGCTGTTAGTGTCTGTAGCTGTTAGCATGTGTAGCTGTTAGTGTCTGTAGCTGTTAGCCTGTGCAGCTGTTAGCATGTGTAGCTGTTAGCATGTGTAGCTGTTAGCATGTATAGCTGTTAGCATCTGTAGCTGTTAACATCTGTAGCTGTTAGCATGTGTAGCTGTTAGCAGCCACGTGTCGTTGCGTGCTTGGATAATCTAGTCTCGTGACTGTGTCTCTATTTTTCTGTGTAGGAGCAGGAGCTTCACGTCAGACCTCCACCAACCACATGTTTGTTCTCTAACAGGTATGGTTGTAATTTCTAGTAAAGTTGTTCAATATTAAACTTCGGTCCAGCAGCCTCCACTTCAAAAAGTCAGCGCTCACGCGGTTTGGTTGTGCACACGCTAACACCACCAGGTAGTCACGCTTGCGAGGTTCTTTCAAAATAAAAGCTGATGTGTGTCTCCTGTTGATACAAACTCTGGACATAAAACACATGTTAGCACTGGAAGCTGTAACGGGACCAACATTCCTGCTCAGCTGTTTCCACAAAAAGTTTCAATCTCGCCCCCATATCCAAAGAGTAGAGAACTTTTTGTGTTGTAAGTTAAATAAATAAAAAACTCCAGTGAGTTTTTCATGTTTTGACTCGAGTTGATTGAAGTCATTCTTGCTGGTCCATGTTCAGAAATGATTTTTAATGTCCGCCTGTGAATATGATCCATAATATTTGACTTTAGTCTCTGTTTTGTGGTTATTTGTATGTTCATGATGTGAGAATGTTCAATTGTTTTCCCTGAAGTTTCCATTAATATTAAAACAAAACTCTTAAGTTTCCAGTGACCAGTCTCACTTCAGGCTGACTGTAGAACATCTCCAGATGTTGCTCACCAGATGTCACCAAGATCTCATGTGGAATTTCAAAATAAAGTCCCTCCAAAGTTGGACATTTTCCATAGAATTGTCCCTAAGTTTCTGTTTGTTGCTCGTTCTTCAGGATGTTGTAGAAACAGCGAGGGTAAGTACGGCTTTACCAGAAATCACATCATTAGTGCAGAAAATTTATTGTCTCGTTGAAATGCAACATAGTTCAAGTAAAAACAGGAATGTTTCATTTAAAATCATTTATATGTTTAATATTTTAAGTGACAATAACCATTTGGAAAAATAAAGTTCAAATTGTACATTAATGTCAGAAATGACATTTATATCATTTTAACATCAAGTGTTTGTTTTTCCTGGTAAATGTTGAGAATTACAAGAGCTTTGTGTTGTTTGTCCATGTCGACCAAAATCACTGGAGGTTTCTGGTTAGTGTGCATAAAAATGATACTTGTTGTTCTCTCAGAACATTTTAATTTAAAGTTTCATGTTTTGATTTGTGCAGAAACTCTGTGAACCACACAGTCTTTCTGGTGGATCAAGTTCAGCAGAAGACGATTCAAAAGCTGCAAAAACATTTAGGTAAGTATTTATTAAGAGACAGAGGAAAAAAGTCTAACACTGAATTATATCTGGTGAGCTGCTTTTAAAATGATTTTAGTTGCTGTTATGGCCATGAAGGACAGAGTGCACGTTTTATTCAAGTTTGATTCAGGAACATCATAAATTACACATGAATGTTTTTCACTGAAACTAAATGAATCTTCAAACTTGTTCCTGATCATTTTGAAAGAGATTTAGTAACAACTTGAGTTGGACACATCATGCCAGTGTAAGGACGACACGTGTTCCTTGTGTTGTGGCTCCTACAAAGTTTCTGAACACTTGAAGTCGTCCTGCTACATTTATTAAACATCAAATGTCTCTACAGCTTTCTGTTCTTTGATCAAATAGATTTTCTGAATCATTAAACTTCATTTCCTTCAAACTACTAATTGATTTTGATTTGTTCAAAAACCCACATTTCTCTAAGTCAATTGATCAAAACGTGCACGTTATTAAAATGCAGTCAGTTCTCACACTCACTGTTAAAGTCTAATAGAAAATAAATCAGTCAGAGTTCATTTAAATGTTGCTCATTAATTGTTCTTTTAATTGTAATTAGAATATTTAGCTGATGTTCAAATCAGTTCCTACAACTTGTGTTTCTTGAACAATTAGTTTCAAATATTTACTGATTCTATTAAAAGCTGCAACAGAGTTGAGCTGAACTGAAGGAGAGCGCGTCAGAAAAATGTGATTGTGTGACGTTAAATAGAACGGAGGCGTCGTGCTCCAGCCGCTCCAAAAGGATGGAAATATCTGCTGGGACATTGTTGTGGTAGTTGTTCACTGGAAAGTTGGTGAAACTTCATGTGCAGAGCTTTTGTTACTTGTTTATTGTTTGTACCTTTTCTTATGGTTTCTATATTTTTTAGATTGCCAGAGAAGTGATGAAGACTTTCCTGATATTCCAGCATCAGGTTTGAAAGATCCAAACTGGAAATCATAAAGTAAAGAGGAATGGGTCAACAGATACTGACTGCATCAGGTTTGGTCCTGAAGGTTTGATTTCAACATTCTAATAGACTTATGCATTATTGTCCAACAAGGAAGTGACTAAAAATAGTTCACTCTGAAGATAATAATATTTTAAAGTACAAAGGTTGTTAAGAAGGTGAAGAGGAGACGAATAATATCTGATTGGTTGAGCTGAGAAATGAAAAGGCTGAATGTGATTCAAATAAGTGATAAAGTTCACAATCACATTTGACTCTTCAAGAGAATTGTGTGTAAATAAATCAAACAATGATGTGTTTGAAGCTTTAAGGTCAAAATGCAGGTAAATCCAGTCAGAAATGTTCTTTGTATAAAACTAAACACTAGAACTCGACCTGACTGGATAAATGTGGATCCAGCAACACAATTCCCTCAAAAACTACGTTTCTACTGCAGCTTTGCAAAGTATTACTGTGTGAATGTAAAATATGTCGTATTTAATTGTAATATGTTTCTTCTGAGTGTTTTGTCTGGCTCCATGTTACTTCATTAGTTGGGTCCATGTTTGGTTTGTGATGAACAGAACTCCACAATCAAATCAAACCATCCAGTGGCTCTATTGTTGTGACGATGCATCCCATGATGTCCACTTGTGTTCAAGTGTCAGCTCAGTTTGTGTACAAGTACTAGATTGTATGATGTGTTGAGTGTTGTATCACAGTTTCATGGTGGCTGGCTCTGCCTTCAGCAGGAGCAGTTCTGTTCGCACTTTCATGTTTTACCAGAGCTCTTTGTAATTATATTTTTATAAA